GAGTCAGAAGCCGGGGGTCGACGGGACCCGCCCGGGCGGGGTTCGGGTGCCGGGGGAGGCCCTCTGGCCCTACTGAAGGCGCGAGCACTGGACGTCACCTTCGAGGTGGGGGATGAGTATGAGGTCATCGAAACCATCGGCACCGGCGCCTACGGCGTCGTCAGCTCCGCCCGTCGCCGCGATACTGGTGAGCCGGATGCCTGGGTCCCCCCTTGAGTCCACGTGGGTGGGGGGTTCCTGGACACCTGGGTTCCTTTTTGGGTGCTTGGGTGGGCACCCTAGGGGGTGCTGGGGCGGGTGACGAGCCCCGTCCCGGACACCCGGGTTCCCTTGGGTCATCAGGTCAGCAGGTGGCCATCAAGAAGATCCCCAACGCCTTCGATGTGGTGACCAACGCCAAGCGGACCTTGCGGGAGCTGAAGATCCTCAAGCACTTCAAGCACGACAACATCATCGGCATCAAGGACATCCTCAAACCAACCGTCCCTTATGGCGAGTTCCGCTCCGTGTACGTGCCTGGAACGCCTGGGTCCACCCCTTGCCATGGTGTCCCCACAGATGTCTGGGTCCATCAGGTGGTGGTGGCCCCCCCATAGGAACATCTCCAGCTCCTACTAGGTGTTTCTAGGGCAGGAGAAGACATGGGATGGAGGCCAGTTGGGTCCATCAGGTGGTGGTGGCCTCCACAGGGACATGTCCAGCCCCTCCTGGGTGCTCCTGTGGGGCAGGAGAAGAAGTGGGATGGAGCCCACTTGGCCAGTTGGGTCCATCAGTTGGTGGTGGCCCCCAGAGGGATGTTCCCAGCCCCCCCGCCCGACACCTGAATTCTCTTAGGGGGCAGCAGGACACGTGGGATGGAGGGCACCTGGATTCACAAGGGGGTGCGTGTTGCCCATGGGGACATCTCCAGCCCCTCCCGGACGCCTGGGTCCCCTTTCCTCCCTGCAGTTACGTGGTGCTGGACTTGATGGAGAGTGACCTTCACCAGATCATCCACTCGGCGCAGCCGTTGACGTTGGAGCACGTCCGTTACTTCCTTTATAGCGTTGGAGCACGTCCTTTACTTCCTTTACCAACTTTTGCGAGGTCTCAAGTACATCCACTCGGCCAACGTCCTCCACCGGGACCTGAAGCCGAGCAACCTCTTGGTGAATGAGAACTGCGAGCTGAAGATCGGTGACTTCGGCATGGCCAGGGGGTTGGGGGCTGACCCACGGCATGCCAAAGCCTTTCTCACCGAATACGTGGCCACCCGTTGGTACCGGGCACCGGAGTTGCTCCTTTCGCTTCACCGTTACACCCGTGCCATCGATATGTGGTCGGTTGGGTGCATCTTTGCCGAGATGTTGGGTCGTCGGCAACTCTTCCCTGGCAGGAACTATGTCCACCAGTTGC